GACCAGGCCCCTGCTGCCCCGCTCACCCTGGGCCGAGTCCCTTCCTCTCCGCTTCTGCCTGGTGTTTGGTGTGGTGGTCTCAACGTTTGAAGGCTTCTTAGCGTGTCAGAGCTATAGCTTAATTGCTTGGGGTTTTTTTTTTTTCCCCCTCTTCTCTTATTTTTTTTTTCCTGCTAGAGAGCATGTTTCAGCTGGGCTCAGAGTTGGAGTTACCTGACTGACATTTGCAGGGAAGGGGATGGGCAGGATTTGTACGGGGGAGGGGCAGCCTGTGACATATTGCAGTCTCAGGATTGGGATGAGAGGTGTATTTTTTTCTTTTGTGCGCTTAAAAACTACTGAAAATACGTTTTTCTTTAGTTCTCCAAATGGCTTCCTTTGGGTGGAAGAGAAAGATTGGTGAGAAAGTTTCAAAAGCTACTTCGCAGCAATTTGAAGCAGAAGCTGCTGATGACAAGGATCTGGCTGATGACGATGATGCCAACTGGGTGCATGCAGCTAAGAGAAGAAAGGAAATTCTCTTAGAAGACTGTGTAAAGAAAAGTAAGGAGCTGAAGGATGAAGGTGCAAATTTAGCCGAAAATAGGAGGTACTAATGTTATCTGACTCTTCTTAATTGACTGAATAAGTGCTAAATGATACGTTAATGCCTTCTCATACCACTAGGTAGCTTGCTAGCATTCACATGCATTCACATTTTTCCTATTTGCAAAACTGGTAATTCCTTTCATTATACCTTTACTGTCTGGTACTAAATAAGTTATTTCTTTCCGTGGTGTTGGCAGCTGTGAAATGAAGTCTGCATTTCATCTCCTTTTTGTGTGTTCATGTAACAAAAAAATGATAGAAGGTGGGAGGTAGAAACTGATTGGACCTAAAAGTTGGAAGAGTGAATAAGATACAATGAGATAACCCCAACTGTAAGTAATGCTTTAGCTACTCTGGTAGCTTTCTCCTCTTTTGTAGATGTGTCTGTTCTCTTATGAAGAGTAAGCTTATTTCCATGTGTACGGTGCCCAAGCAAATACTGCAAAGCAGCTACCACACTGTTCATCAGTCTAATGCTTTTGGAAGGTCAGGTTCAGATAGCTGCTCTGAACATTTTCTGAAAGCCAACTGAGTCTTGAGGGTTCA